AGAGAGTGGTGGCAGTACCACAGATTAAAGCTGAAATAACCAAAGCAGCATGTAAAAATCAGAAAATACACGGGCCAATGGTGAAGGAGTAAAATGTGCGTGGGCTCCTTATTTGGGAGGGGAAAAAAAAAGGAGAAAAAAGGAATATAAGGTAAACCATATGAACAGGTTTTTTTGGGGGGTCTCTGTTGATCAGCCCTGTACCTGATTATCAAGATTAATGCAATAATAAACCATACTAATAAATTGTAATAATGACTATTGTTTTTCAATCTCTACCTGACTGGCTTCTGCAGACAGGGGCATCTGGGATGGCTTCCGTAAGTGCTAGCAAGGCAATGGAGGATGGACCAAACCTTCCTAAAAGAATTTACATCTCCAGATACTTTTCAAGTATTTTCCAGTGACAACTTCCCCAGTCATTTCTCACAGACTCTCACATACTCTTGATTATCCTTGCACATGTACTGTACTCTAATTGGTTTCCACCCTGTTTTTCTTCAGCATGTAAAGATCATTCTTATCTGTAATGCGGCATTTTAAACCATTTTCAGATATTTAATATTTGCAAAGTTAGTAGATTTACTTTGCTAATGCACCAGAAAGGAAGTATTCAAGGGAACTGAATCCAAGACAGATATTTTCAGGAGTTCTAGTCAATATGTCAGTTTCAAAAATTAATCATTTATACCTACCATTGGTTTATCCAACAAAGTCTGCACAACTAAATCTATATAATACTTGTTTTAAAATATTGTAATGTCAAGAAATGTCATAAATCTTACTGGAATCAAGATACATTGCAGCAACCGGCTGTCACCCATCCACAAGATGTGTTGTACTATCACAGGAGGAAATTAGATTGGTTGTCACTATTTATTCTTCACAAATCCTTCAGGGCAGTCATTCGTTTGTTATCTTGCAGCTGCATACAAACATTTTGTTTATGTATTTCAAATTTCCTCCTAGAGGTTGAAGTTAAATTGATGGTCTAATTCCCCAACTTCTCTTTCTTTTTTTCGTTAACAGCCATGATGCTTGCCCTTTCCTTATCTTTCAATATGTCACCTGGCAGATGCAAATTCCCTGAACTATCTTGATAATAGTTATGAGATTACTTTCACCAGTTTTTCAAATATCACCATGTATTAAAAGCATATATAACACTAAAACTTCCCTTTGTAAGGCAATCTGAGATTTTGAGATTTTATTTGGTTTTGCTAGTACTATTTGCAAAAACTACGTTTAGTGAAGGCTGACCTCTGATATGCTCAGTCGAAGACAAAACTTTGTCTTTTTGTTGTTAATGCACTTAATTTTTTGTTCCCTATCTATCCCATGCTGGTTGTACTTTAATCTGTGCCCTGGCCTGCGTGGTACTATGACATGCTATGCTTTTACCACCCTTGTCTCTAGATTTCACTTTTTGTATGATTTTGTCTGGATGTCAATGAAGTGGTCATTGCAAATAATTAAAACAAACAAGTGAAGAGACATTCTAGGAAGTAGTGAAAAACTGTTTTACAGCATCACAAGAAAAAATATACATAATCTTAGCTAAAATCTGATCTATATTTTCTATTTCTACTGAGAAGAAACATTTTTATATTTTTATAAGCGGCGGACAGGAAATGATCATAATAGTTACAAAAAACCACCCAGGAAACAAAATAAAAACCCTTGCAAGTAGTTTTTCTGTACAGAGAATTGCCTAATTTACTGCTTTATAAAATATACTGAGCAATCCTGCAGTGTGTCTCTTTTTGAAAATTGAGTCCCCAATCTAGCTGCCTACTGATAGCAAAGAATCAAGTGCCTTCAAGTCTCTAGAGTACTATAATAAATTATATCAAGCAGAATTAGAAGCTATGATATTTGGAGAATAGTGGCTGTAAACATCTTCTACAGTCAATAAAATAATGTACAAAGTGGCTGAATGCTCTCCTGTCCTTAGGGAGCAAGAATATTTTCTAAAAGTATTCAATGTATAGATGCTTTGTCATCTACACAGGTGTCGTGGTTTAAACCCAGTCAAGTAATTCGTTCACTCACTCACCCCCTTCTTTCCCTCCCCCTACTCCTGGAGGGACGGAGAGGAGAACCAAAAAGATTGCAACTCCCACGGGTTGAGATAAGAACAGTTTAGTAACTAAGGTATAACACAGATCACTACTGCTACCACCAATAATAATAACGATAAAGGAAATAACAAGGGAAGAGAATACATCACCTCACCACCAGCCAACCGATAACTCCCCCCCCCAGCCCAACCAAGCTCTGTCCGATACCTCCTCCTACTCCGAAGTCTCCCCAGCCCTTCTGGCTAACTCCCAGTTACATCCTGGGCATGACATGCTGTGGTATGGAATACCTCTTTGGTCAGTTTGGGTCAGGTGTCCTGTCTCTGCTTCCTCCCAGCTTCCCCTCCTCCCTGGCAGAGCATGAGGCTCACAAAGTCCTTGGCCAAACCAAAACATCGCTATCAGCTCTGTTCCCAGGCCGAAAGTCAAAACACAGCACTGCACCAGCTACCAAGAAGGAGAAACATGACTGCTACTGCTGAATCCAGGACAACAGGTTATATATGCGCTTGAAGCCAGAGCTTCAGCAGTGGTACTTATTTAATACCTTCAAAATATGTGTAATCCCTGCACAGTCATAGCCTTTGACATGGACTAACTAGCATGGCATGCCCTGGGATAGTTAGAACTCCCCAAACAATTCTCAAGGACAGTCTGGGATTTAAGCATTACTGGGAATCATTTCTCTTAAAGGACTCAAAGGTAATGGAGAAAACTCACCGCAGGCAACACAATAATGAAATCCTAAGGACCTGTTTAATTCTTCAGTAAACCCTATACTCAAATGCAACAATAAGTGTGCATCTATTACCAATTTTTCTTCAAGGCAGCTCTTCAAGTGACCTTCAGTCTCTTAAGTTTAGCCTTCCTCTAAATTTTAAATCAATTGCATCAACAAGAGCTATTCAAATTTGTACAAACATTAGGTAACTGACTGTAATAGGCTCCATTAATCTAGGGCAGATCATGGCCTCTTCTGTTTTCAGTTATCATTGTCAAGTTTTGTTTTATTTTATTCCTTTGTGATAAATATATATGATTCACATTTTATTTGCTTTTAAAGTAAATTTTCACAGGACATTTTAAAGTCTGATTTTTTTTACATTTGCTCCTGTAACATTTTTATGTTTGCTGGTTTTATTTACTTATCTGCCCAAATTAGTCATAAACTTTTTTTCACTTTTTGGCAGACAGCAATGTTTTGTGTTGCCAGTTCCACCTTAAATTTTCATCTCCTGAAATTAAAGTCCTAATTGTATCTTCCTTTCTTTTCATATCTGGAATGGAAAAAGTGAGGTAGATTTGTACTGCGTAACCTTAGGCACTTACTTTAGATGATACATTAAGAGGCTTTTTAGGACCTCAGTGTAGTCAAGACAGAAAAGGTTCCCGTAAAGGATCTTTAAAGTGTTGTTATGAACTCTCTGAAATAGAATAATTGCCTCCACTGACTATCTAGGCAGTTTATGGAGACTAGCCTGTTTATTCAGGAAATCAAATTAGGTAGTTAAGTGACAGATTGTATGACTGTCCCCAATATTTTTTTAAAAAGAGGAAAAATATGTCATCCTTTTTTTAATTAAACCCATTATGTGTGGCCAAAGTGATATGTATAAACTTTGAACAGTCACTGAAGTATTTGTAGTAGAGAGTTGCAAAATATCGAAATTCAATACCTTTCCTTCTGGCATTCATAATCACATATTTTCCTTATCAGTTTAATTAATAATTAAAAGTCATGGCAAAAAGAGCAATTAAATGCTCACTTCTTATATAGAACAGGTATTTATTTTGATTTTATGGGTAACTTAATTATCTAGTATACACAAAACTAAAGTCTGTAGAGGATTTTGAGGCCTACTTTTTAAAAAAAAAAGTACTGACTCAAATATAAGAAAACAGTTTCATGTGTTAAGAAAATGCCAATGGTTAAATATTTTTAATAACTTCTAGAAGAGTCTATAAATGTCCGAGTACATTCTACAAATAAGATGATGAAATAGTGACATACAAAAAAATATACAAGCTGTGAAACTAATAAGTATTTGATCCCAATAAGAGAGTTTTTTTTACTCAGTTTGACCTGTGTAATAAAATTCCCTAATAAATTTCTGGAGAAAAACACTGTAAAAGACACTTTGCTTGATTTTCACTTTATTAATCTATAAACCCAATATTTTTGAAAACAGAAGGGATCAGGTTCTTTGTTTCTGAGTAAGGATTCAATGCCAGATTGATGCAATGAAAGAACGTGTAAGTGAAACTTAGTTTTATAATACAAGCTTCAAAGTACTTCTCAGAATTACAGAATTAGCCTGGAAAATGCTACTACTATATTTTGCATAAGTAAATTCAAAAATCACTTTGCAATGTTATAAGAAGTAAGAACACCCTCCAGCACAGTAAATTCATCTGGCTCTTCACAACATTTGGCTAGTTGGAGCAGAAGAAATACCTTGTTACTCTGCTGAGCTTCAAAAGTCCCAGACAAACAGTCATGACAAATGCAATCTGCAGACTATGACACATGTACAAGACTGGATTTTGAATAGACTCCTTGGGTATGTGTGCACCATATATGATATGAATACAGAGTTAAACTGTTCGACTCACTGCTGCAATATTGAATGCAAACATGCACTACGCTTTTCCAAGACCTGGATGTGAGTTCCACTGTCCCCCTCTCATTTATTTCATGGCTCCACCTAACCCACTTTTTTAGGTCTAAAATGAAAGATTCTGCTCATTACTGTGGATTAGTAAGACTCTACTGAATTAAATAGGTCATTTCAGAACCTCAAACCATAGAAAACTTGGGTTTAGAATTTTAAAACTGTAAGGTCTACAAATTTTGCAACTTAATGCAACTACAAGAATACAAAAAAAGAAAAAATACCAATAACATAATGAAAGTCTTACCTGGTCTGAGGGAGAACAGCATTTATTTGCCATTTTCATCTATGAAAGAGAGATGAAAGAATACACAGAGATTTTAATATGCTGGAGAATTTCTATGACGCAATTAGCGTTGGCTTATATACTGAATACTGTATTAATATTGCAAGTTATATTTATAGGAAATTAAATCATTCAGTGCTTATATACTAGATTTTTACTATTACACTAAATTTACAAAACCAAGGACACAAAAGATGCTAAGCCTTTTACCAGTTCTCATTAAATCATTCACAAAGATTTGCATTTATAAATTCAATTTTGTCATTCTGAGTGAAACAATTATACTGAACTGTAGACACCTCACTTACTTAGGTCTTAGTTAAACAATTAATTACAGATCTGTAAGCGAGGTGTATGATTAAATACTTTTGAAATGAAGGCTATAGAGTGTCAGACATGCTAAAACGAAGGGAACATTGTTTATGCTTTCCTTCTAGTTTACTCTTCAAGATTCAAGTTATGTATCTTTCTTTTTCATGCCTGTTCAGATAATGAAGAGTTTTGTCAATTTTGTCCTTTTTTTTTCTTTTTTTTTTTTTGCAGTCACAGTTTGTGCAAATAAGTGGTGGACAAACCCTGACAGATATTTCCTTCTTTAAAGTGAAACACTTCTTTAAAGTGCAAAATTAGTAAGTGTCATAATGATACGGAATCCAGAGAGAAAAAGATCAGGCAGGAAAGACTGATTCCCCTATAAGGCAAAGATACGAGCTGCAAACTGTTCTACCATTGATGAGTACTTCCAAAGGATCTTCTCTAAAAGCCTGTTTTATAACTAATAAAGGGTTTGTGATAGAAGACCAAAAGCTATGCCTTAATAAATGAAGGAAAGAGGAAAAAAACAGCTGATATAAAGGAAATCACTCACTGCCTCCCACAAGCCGACTGATGCCCAAGCAGTCTCCAAGCAACAGCCACCTATATCACTTTTATTGCTGAGCACAACTTTATATGGTATGGAATATCTCTTTGGCCAGCCTGCATCAGCTGCCCTAGCTGTGTCATTTTGCAGTTCCTTCCCCATCCTTGCTGGGGCAGTGGGATGTGTCAGAGTGAGAAAAAGTCAAAGCCTTGATGCTGGGCAAGCACTGTACAGTAACAGTCAACACATTGGTGTGTTATTAACATTGTTTTAGACACAAATATAAAACACAGCATCATATGGCTGTTATGAAGAAGGTTATCTCCATAACAGCCAGACCCAGTATGCCTCTAAGAGGCCAAAAGGCTTGTGTTACATTAATGACAAGAGCCTCAGGATGTGTCAGGGTTTGTCTGGACTGTCTGGAGCTCTATTACAGCTTGTTTAGCTGTAACATACACACTAATAACCATGGGACTATTGCCTACTTGGTACCAGCAAATTACAGTTGTATAATGCAATTATATATATAAATCATATATATAAATCTTATAGGTGTATATATATATGAAGTATATAAAGTATAGACACATGAACACACTTGTAGCTAACAGACGGCAACAAGAAGTCATTATTTGACACAAAGTGAATTATCTATGACCATAAATAAAATTACCATATGACAAATGTGATGTGGAGGATTACAGGACAAGAGCAGGAGCCTTGATTGTATGGACACAGGATGATACACAGTTTCACGGCTGTAGCACTCATTCCTAACTTATTATGGGCCATTAGGGCTCCTCCTCCCCTGTACTCCCTTTTGCAGCCTACTGGAAATGAATTGGGTGGTCAAATGGTGCAGGTGTGCTGGTGGGTGAGACAACTGGGCTCTGGGGTTGTGAGAGTAACTCAGGCTCTGGGGATAAGGTGGCCAGACCTGCTGGGAGCCTGGCCATCTGCCAGGCCTGGCTGTCACTTTCAGTATAGTGCTGGGAAAGTTTGCCAGCCCCTTGAAGGGGCCCTGCCAGGTAAATAACAGGGACAACTACAGCAGAACAAAAAACAGCAGACGCAGACACCTGCACCATAATAGGAATGTTGATGAGGATGGAGCTGACATGCAGCTGCCAAGCAGATCGGAGAAGCCCCGAGCAAGGCTCATTGCAGCTCTTGCACACAGCTCTGCGTACAGCAGGCTGATCCCAGCCTGCATGGATGCAGCCTGCCAGAGGTGGCCTGGAGCACTCTGGAAGGGTGAAGAGGTGGCACAGCTTGTGGCCCCAACAATAGCAAACCAGTGGGAACTCAAGAACCCCACTCTGTCAACTGGTGTCCTGGGTTCAGCAGTAGCAGTCATGTTTCTCCTTCGTGGTAGCTGGTACACTGCTGTGTTTTGACTTCCAGCCTGGGAACAGTGCTGGTGATACCGATGTTTTCGGTTGTTGCTAAGTGATGTTTACCCTGACCAAGGACTTTGTGAGGCTCATGCTCTGCCAGGGAGGAGGGGAAGCCGGGAGGAAGCAGAGACGGGACGCCTGACCCAGGCTAGCCAAGGAGGTATTCCATACCACAGCACGCCATGCCCGGGGTGGGGGGTAACTGGGAGTTACCCAGAAGGACACGGGGCTTCCAGGTGGGACTCCTTTCTTGGCCGGTGGTATTGTATTCTCTTCCCTTGTTATTTTCTCTTATCATTGTTGTCGTTGGTAGTAGCGGTGGTGATTTGTGTTGTACATTGGTTGCTGGACTGTTCTTGTCTCAACCCATGGGAGTTGCCCTCTTTTGATCCTCCTCCCTGTTCCTCCAGGAGCGGGGAAGGGGAGAGCCCCAGTGGGGGGGGGGGGGACGGACCTTGATTGTTGTCAGCTCGGCGCCACTCACTGGGAGTGAGTGAACAAGTTGCCTGACTGGGTTTAAACCATGACAGTTCTTTTGGCACCCAACGTGGGGCACGAGGGGTTGAGATAACAACAGATCTGACAGGATTAACAGTCACTCGTCACAATGCTGATTTATTGGCTCTCAAGATTGTTCCTCTTGATCTCACAGTTTCAGTATATCGTATCTTACTTCCATCTGGTATTTGCTGTACTAGTGTTTTTCAAGTGTGGGGCTTGGGCTAAGGTTTTTGTCTCATTGTAGTTTATGGTAATGACTTGTAATACAATAGAATCATTGATCATGAAACTGATCTGGCTTATGTTCCCAGTGTGGTCACCACCCTTATACTTTGGGAGGTATATAATAGAAGTGCTTAGCAATTACACATCTTTTTTCTCCTTCTCAGGTGCTCAACCTGTGAAGGAGACATCCTTTTACCCTCCCAGTCTTCCCCCCAGACCATTTACATTTGAGAGTTTTGAAGTTTTTGAATGGCCTTTTAATGCTGTTGAGACTTGTTTGCTGATCATGATGGGAATCACCATGCTGGCACGCATACAGAGTGTGTTTTGCCTATGACTGATTTCAAGAGTTAAGCAGAGTCAGGTTTGGGTCTTGTCTGGGGTCAAACGACGATGTAGGAGGACCAAGAGATTTTTCCCTGAGGCTGGACAGCCATGAGTGGCAGGGTGTGGGGGATTGTATGGGCAAGTATCTAGGTCAGTGGGCCCCTCCAGTACTTTGGAATTTCACTACCGACCAACTGCAAAATCCAGAAGAATTAGTAAAACACTTAAGTGAGGTGTGTAGTCATTCTGGCCATACCAGAGACACACAAATCATGGCAACGTGCTGGGGCTTGGACTATGCTTACAGGGCCTTGTTCAACACTATCCAGCACTTTCAAAAGGAAAAGAATGTCGGCGGATCTGAGGGCAAAGCAACAGTCAGCGCAGCTACTCCAGCTCCAGGCACAGCAGCTACACCACCCCCAGCGACAAGTACAGTCGCTACTCAAACTCTGGCTGCAGTGAACAGCACAGCTACCCCAGCGGCAAGTACAGCAGCTGCTCAAACTTCGACTGCAACAGACAGCGCAGTTACCCCAGTTCCAAGCACAGCAGCTGCACCACCCCCACCAGCAAGTACAGTCGCTACTCAAACCACAGTGATAATCACTGCAGCCAAACCAGAGGACCAATTCGTACCAATATTGGTTGCCCCTGCACGCAGGAGAACAAGCAAAAAAGAGGCGAGAAGGGTGAAGCGAGGTGAAAAAACAATGAATTCACCACCCGGTCTAGAATCTGATCAGGAGTCATCATCACATGATGAAGAAGAAGAAGAAGAGGTAACTTCTTGACCTCAGACCTCAACCGAGCTGCAGAATA